GGGGGGGGGGAAGGAGACGAAGGATGGTGCGCGCGGTAAGTTATGACTTTCGGCTACGTCTCTCCACCGCCATCTATGAATGTATGCATGAGATACCAACTTTACGCTTTATGCATTAAACGCAATGGCGATAAGAAGGCACCGATGCCGCGAGCATGCCGGAGAAAACTGTAATCGTTCCTCCGATCGTGTTACCGCGCCGAAGATACATATATATTTTATCGTTTAATCGTTTTAAGCTTGATTTATACAATTTATACACGTTCATTGCGCGTTAAATACGGGTATATAGAGAATCCGACTTCGGAAAGTTTAAAATATAAAGGTTGAGTATCTCTCGATTATGAATAAAGGTTATGCTCGAAACTCGAAGATTCAGGTTTCAATTTAAAAGAATTTTTATCCTTGTCGATAAATCTTACCGAGACGGTTACATTAGTAGATACATTTTCGTGGACTTTTTTTTCGAGAATAAAAAAAGAATAAACATGGAAAGATTCATGTTGGTCGCGAAAAATACCGAGAAATACGTTTGCTCACGGGGAATTAAATTTACACGGTCTGTACACATGTAAGACGATCTATACATTTCTATTAAAATCTTTATTTTCGTAAGAGGATTGTAAGGACAGAGAACGTTTATATTTCAGTAGTTCACGCGTTTGTTTCATCGCTATTCTCGAAACAGAATTTCCTTAACCGTTAAACCGTTAAAATTTATACATAGAGAGATAAACGCTCGACTTTAAACGAAGCTAATCTCGAATAACAATTTCTTTCCCAAGGAACAGTTTTGCGTTTTTTTTCTTTCTTTTTTTTTTTTCTTTTTTTTTTTTTAATTATATTCAAAGTTGAACGTAGAAAAGTTGGAGGCGAGCTGGAACATACCGTATCGTAGTTTCTTCTCAGGATTCACAGTGGTGGAAAAGCAAAGTAACAAGATTTCACTGCTACTAACTCAAATTATTACCGGTAATGCCCTCGTTCCAGCTTGACGAACTTCGGGAGAGTCCTTTTCCGACAGAGCTAACTGAAAAGTTTCCGAGAAAGATTCAAAACCTGTTAAAGAATGCCTGAACAACGTTGCTCGACACTACCCTTAGGATGTCACCAACAGAAATGTCGCTCCCGAACGATGACAAGAATTAAGTTTCGTCCTCGTGTTGTGGCACGCGGCTTTACACCACGATGAACAATGACGACCAAGTTTCTTCGTCTTTCGCATTAAAGCTCGCTATCTACGTCTCGGTATCTACGAAAAATAATTACCATCAATCGTTTTATAAAGTTGGAGAGTATCTTCTGCAAACGATCATTTCTCTTTATAATTTATTTTATCTTTTATCGTATATGTAATCGTTCGATCAATGAATTGCGATTTTCTTATTTTTTTTAATAGAATGTTCTTCGTGAATATTGAAGTTATTCCATGATGATAAAATTCTTATGTGTTGATTCCTTAAATTTTCTTTATCTTGTATAAAAAAAGAATTTAAAAAAAAAGATGAAAAAATATTGAAATATATCACATTCTATACATTATCTCGTCATAATTATTACATTATTCGTATCATATTTTACAGCGTGTTAATTTGGATTTATTGGATATGGCCAAGGATATAATATTTTGGAAAATATGTATTTGATGAAATAAAAATGTTTCGATGGAAATACGATCCACGAGATTTTTCTTCATCGGTCTTTTGTCTTCTCTTCTTTCATTTTATACTTTATGTAGAGTATATTTTTTCCCTTGTATGATCCGTACCATCAGTTAATCGCAATATATGACTGTATTAACACAAGGTGTCACTCTAACGCGACGCACAATTTTTTAAACATTTACATTCATGTTACAAAGTTTTTTTCAAAAAAATTATTGTCATTTATTTAATTTCTTAAATTAACTGACAGATATATTCCATATATATCATAATTTCAAAAAATAAATTTTTATATTATTTTTCCACTTCATTATTTAATACACATTCATTCTTGATTCAAGATAAATAAAGAAACTTGAGTATTAAATTCATTATTCTTTTTTTTTTTTTTTTTGAATTAAAACAAACAAAGAATCCAGTGTTTCCTCTCAGTGCAAGAAATAAAGTATAAAAACTTGCGCACAATCTAAATAAAAAAATAATCCTTTCAAATTTATATTATTTAATATAATATCGTAATATGATTTAATATAATTTATTCTCCCATTCAATATACTCACTTATTTATAATAACATAATTGAAACATGGTTAACAATTGCACCGCTCAATTATTCAATGTTGAATCCTAATGGTTTAATAATGCTGGCAAAGGATGAAATACGTCGCTTTTTGCGAAGTATTCTCGTCAGAGGTCCGTTCGATCGAGGTCATATGGTAGACCGTGTTGATAGAGGAAACGCGTTACGGAAGTGCACCGCGAATACAAAAGCGGCACTCTATCGTGTGCCTTTTCGCGCGTCTCGTATCAGTCAGGGAAGGGTATCCTCGAAGAACAAAGAGATGTTTTGCGAGTCAAATACCATCGGTCCCTCCAACAACCCAGGAATTCCTCTAAATGGAGCAAAGAAACATTATACAGTTCTTCCGTTCTTGGAATGCGTCTGCTTTTGGTATCCTCTATCTCCCTTTCTCTCCAACAATTGAAGGTGATCGAACCGCTTTCCAGAACTTTCCAACTTCCGGCAACCTATTTGTTCCGCCATTCGATTCCCCTCGACGATAAATCGCACACGTAACATTTGTCACGTTTAAATGAATATTTTCGATATCTATTAATTTTGGCAATCAATTTATTTTTTTATTATAATCAACTCGTGCTTTCTTTGTCTTCGACAAAATATAGAATCTATTTTTTTGGATCTATAAGAATTAATTATTCTTGTAAAATCTGAAATAATAAAATTAATTATTAAAAACATAGAAATTATATTTATGATTAAATATTCTCGGAAATAGTATATGCATGTTCAAAATTTATTTTTATTCGACAAAAAAATGATATATGTTCGATTTAATTGGGTGATAAATAAATATACCTTATACGAAACATCGTATAAAAATCGTTAAAAATTTCTGAACGTAAATACGAATAAAGCTGAATTTTATTTTCGATACGCGTATATGGAAAGATGGAGAATTATTGGCATAGAATATGGAATAATCTAAGACAAAAAGATAAATGCGATAACGAGAAACATTTCTAGATTTGCGACGAAAAACATTAATCTATTCCTTCTGAAATATTATCAAGAACGGATCAAGGAAATACGAAGCGTGTACGTACGTAGATCCGGTTGCAACTTCATTCCCTTTTAACTATATCAAAGTTACATAAGCTTGCGTTGTACACATTAGTGGTATATCGAGAGGGAGGGGAGGGAGTAGAGGGAATGTGCACGTTCGAATAACCTGTTCTTGTATCGGCTGACTGAATAACTGCGGGCTACCTGTCAGAAACAAGTATCGACGTCGAACGATAGGGACCCGGTAAATGCACCTATGGAGTAGTTGAGCAAAAGTATTTGTGTTTTTCTTTAGTTCCATAAAATTTATCAAACGACCCGTATTCATCCGACCGTGCTCGATACATTCGCTTATAGACGGATGGAGACGGAACCTATATCCCGCTCGTTCACGGTTCGAAGCATCAGTCCTGTCTCGACTAGTTACCATTTCGTGTATCCGACAGATATTTCTCTTACCCACTTTCATCTATCGTCTTATTCCAATTATTCGAACATTAATTTTCATTTCTCCCAGCCGAAAAACAAACAAACCGGTGTTTGGACCGTCTCATCGTTATTTCTCTTATTTTCCAGGACTAAAAATACCGACGAGAGGCGCCATCTCTCGACGAAACCATCCTAACACTAATTCGCGATACTTTTTCTTTTTACCGATATTACCAATCTTCTAATTTATATATTTCAAGTTTCGCTTCACTTTTCAGACGTAACAATTTGGAAATGGAAAGATCTATGAAGCGTGTCGTGCTCGTAATCCGATATTCCGGTCAGGGATAGATAAGAAAGTTCCTTCTAAAATCGGTAGTGTAATAATTATGCGAGGAATGTCATACCGGCCGTGCCACCCGCATAACAAGTGGCCCTTCCTTCTGCCCGGGAAATCATCCCACACCCAAGCTGTAATCTTTTCCTCGAGATGATTCATCGGGTGGAAAGTGGATTCGTTTCCTTCTCTCGTTTTTCCTGCCTTCCTACTTCGACGCTTCGGGGTCAGACTTGTAAATGGACTTCTGGAAGTAGCAGCCTCTTGCAAACGCCGCGAGACACTGACCCGATTGTATGCCGTAATGGAATGGCGAACTCGCTGAAATATTTCTTTTAAAGCGATCCGATTTCTTTCCTTTCGGGATATTAAAAGTTAAACAAGATCGAGTTAATTGAGTGAGAAGTTTGAAACACCGTTGACATCGATACTACCAGCTATGAATAGAAGAAGAGTAACTTTAGACTTTCTTTAATCTTTTTCGTTCATCATATTGGCATGTTTCGATGTTTTAAGTTCGATGTAATAATATGATCAAGAATATTTCATTTTTTCTCTACTTCAATTTATTTGATTACGATATAAATATAATTTGAAATTTTATGTAAATTTTACGTCAATTATATTAACACGATACGAAGATTAAAATATTAAAAGAAATATTTATCGATATTTAATTTCTAATATTTATTAATTGCTAATTAAAAATATCGTTTCAATTCGTCAAATCGAAATTCTTAATTAATATTTTACGTGAATACCAAGTAAATACGATTTAAGGATCGATTAATATTAGATTTGAAGACAAAGAGAAAAATGTTACGTTCTCAAATTTTACGTGAAGAATTTTTACATATATCGTAATTAAATTCTATTAGCGTTTAAATATCTGTTTTAATCGTCAATTACGATTATACGTTGATTTAATTAAAATTGGATCGTTAATCGATATTAAATATTATCCAACACTATCGTATATCGGTCACATTAATATGTAACAAATGAATTAAACAAAAATTAAATTCATTTATTACAAAATTCTATTAACATTTAACTTACCATGACGAGTCAGAATCGCAATTTTGAATCATAAACAAGATATTTTTGTTACACTGATCAACACGTAAACGTTCTTTTAATTTTTTTCAATAAACTTAACCAAGAAACAATAACATTTAAAAAAAAAAAAAGCAAGAAGAATACGAAAAATAAAAATGATATATTCGCGTATAATGAATTCTTCATCAAAACGTCAAAAGATAGTGAAATAATTAATAAGATAGGCAATAACGAATAATTTTATGATTATTCAAATCACCTCGATTAATTCTAATGATCGATGCTTTATTTTTTATTAAAAAAATTTTTTTATTAAAAAAAAAAAAAAAAGAAACAAAACGATCTCTGACGTTGAGATAGGAATCGATAGATTCCTTATTAACTCTCTTTATTAAATGTGACAGAACGGCAGAAGCATAAGCCTCGGAAGCTCCGTTTACCGACTACAGCTCACGGTACAGCGAATGTCAGCCGGTGATGGGTGGGCGCGAATTAGCACGATTAAGATGGTATCGCATCCGAGCGGACAGGAGAACGATGCGAAGCCGAAGAGGGAGGTAGGTAGGGTTGTTCAACCTCAAAGTAACTGGCAAGTGGAACGGCTGTGGCGCGGTTCTGTATGGGATATCTATAGAGGTGGAGAGGTATCCGGTGGGTCGGTGTTGGCCGGGATTACTGAAATACAGGAACGGTAAGCGAAGCTGGCTCCGGCTTTGGCTACGGCTTCGGCTTCGGCTTCGCCGGTCACCCCTGATGCTGAGTTACGTCCCACTCTATATCCCTACGACCTATTACACACGCAATACGTCCACATAAATATATCTGCCGCAAAATTCACTCGCCACTGACCAATGCCGATCCTCCTTACAAAAACATTCGTAAACATTCCTTCGATCATGCGCATTCGCTCGTCAGTTAAGTCTGTCTGTCCTTTCTTTTTTAACGATCTGTTTTTTACGCGTGTATTTGCAGCGCACCGGTGAGGTATAAGGTTTCTAAGGAATCTTCTTTCTTTCTCTAAGGCTAATTTAGATATTTCCACTGCTTGCACTCGTCCTAGTTAGATACTTAGGCAGTCCAATTTCTTGGTCTCTGTCCAACTCCTCTCTTTTAATTTAACACGTTCCAGTATCCATGTTCAAGCGTCAAAGAAGTTTTCGTTGACATCCATTTCTGTG